TATATTTCCCTGGATCAGAAATGGAGAAACATGCTTTTAGGCAGGAAGTAGACTCACTCTTAATAGCCCCCACCTTTGTCAATGGACCATTTAAAAGCCTGGACCAGTCTATTCTACATAACAAAGATCTCCCCCATTCAGCCCCATGATGATGGGATTAAGGCATGATAGTATTATCCCTTTACACATCTCACCACAGGGCACCTGGGAAGAAGCAATGCTCAACCAAATGTGGACTCACAGCTCCAGAGCTGCCCCTGCATGGCCCCATGGGAGTCTGACAACCAATCAGAATACAAGATCAAGATCAAAGACCAGAGAGGGCATAAAACCAGGAATTTTCAGCATCTTGGTCTCTTTTTCTTCTTCACCCAACATCTGGAAGCATGTGATTTCCCTTTTCTGTTCAGAAGCTCAAGCCATGTTCACCATTAAACCATCTTTCCAAGCGGCCTCCATGTTTCCAGTGTCTTTTTCCCCACTTGGAACTGAACCCAGAAGGACATTTCTTCCAACATGTCTTTTGGATGTATATTGTCCATGTACATTCAATTGAGGTAGAAAGAGTGGCACTGTTGCCAATGTTATGCTGGACAAAAATCATCTTGTTTTAGTGAGGTGTTTGCTATGAACGACCAATATTCTTTTGCTTTGTTCAGTATGTCCCATAGTGTTTCCTCCAACAATCAAGTTGAGCTGTGCTGAGCTTTGGTTTTTTTTTGTTGCTGTTGTTTCTTGTTCTGGAATTCCAGAATGTTTGGGTATTTTTGGAGTGATGTGTTAAATTAAAACTGCATGACATGAATGTAGAAAAACTAATGTGGAGCTTTCCAAAGTCTGGCAAGAGTTTGTGCCTATAAAGTCCTATGTGAGTATTAGAGTTGATCCAATTCATGCAATATTCAAAGCCATGCCAGGAAAAAAAAACCATGCAAATTGACATATGTTTCTTTTGCGTTCCAGAACTCTCTAATCTCAGTTATAAAAGAAAACACATTGTGCTTGCAGGAATGGTGAGCTTGCTCATTAGTTCTGCGAACCAGGGAGAGGGACAGTGCATTATAGCTGGCAAGACAAAAATTAGAAGGATAAATAACATGTTTTGCCTAAACTGTGAATGAAGATTTCATTGATTTTTCATGAAATGATGAAGCAGCAAATGATGAAACAACAATGAAAGATGTGACCTTGCCTTCTGGTGAATAGAAAGCAGAAAAGGAGAGGAAAAGCCTTACATTGTTGAGTACAGATAGTCCTCGACTTACATCTGCTCTCTCACTGACCATTTGAATTTATGACAGGCCCTCCCCACAAAAGAGACATGACTCGGATTCAAATTCTGATATCTGCCCACCTCCCTCCATGGTCATGTGACTGCATTTTGAGTATTCAACAGCCCACATTTATGACTATTTGCAGCATCCCATAGCCATATGGCTTTGATATACAACTTTTTAATGGAAACTGACTGAGCAAACCAAAAGACCCAGCAACCCCAGGGAAAAAAAACAAAACAGGAATCGTTTACAACTTACAGTGTAAGAACTGAAACAACCACTGTGTAGGACAAACAGGCAGAACGTATCCATGAACACCAACCCACAGTCAGAAGACATGGTGAAAATTCTTTCATTTCACAACATATAGACAGATTTAACCATGGTTTCAATTAAGAAAATGTGACAATTCTAGACCAGGCCAAATCCAAAAATACCAGGGAATTTCTAGAAACCTGACACTCCCGCAAATCATCCATCAATAGACACATAGACATTAACAATATCTTTAGATTATGCAAAAAGAGACAATCAATCAGCACAAAACAGAACAAAAAAGACTCCAGCATCTCTCTACCAGCAATCAGCATCCAGATCAACATAGATGAACTCTCAAGTTTAACTTCAGACCAAAAATCAAACCCAGTCAAGAAACTGTCAAAGAGCCATCAGCAAATAGCCCAAAGAATCTCTAAGATCACCTCCACCCACATAGACAAACACGTCACCAGAATAAACTGACAGCAAACAGCACTTACTAGCACTGATGATGTTACCTAGTTAGGGTAACTAAATGTCTGCAAGAAAAGAAGCAAGTTCGGAGAGCACTAAGGATCCCAGATTTCAACCATGAGCTACAAATATTCTCCTTTATTTACTTTATTTCTGTAAAAAAATTGCCATAACAAACAATGGGTTGCCATAAATACAATTCACTAACTTAAGAACTGCTACAACAAACATTGTTGTAAAATCAGGTGCAGTCACGTGATAACCTGCTTTATGACCATCACAGCTTACAACCAAAATTGCAGTTCAATGTCATAAGTTGTGTACTATCTGCAACCAGTTAACACATCCAATGCTCAATCTATTTCTTGTAAACCCTACTCTCTAGGATTTTTTTTACTCGCAGTAAGCAACAACATCTACATCTGACCACCTTAACAGGTAGCCCTTGACTTACGACCATAACTGATCCCAAAATTTAGTAACATCATTAAGTGAATCTGGCTTCCGCATTGACTTTCATTGTCAGAGAGTTGCAAAAGGTGATCACATGACTCCAGGTCACTACAATCATCATAAATATGAGCTGGTTTCCAAGCAGCTGAATTTTGATCGTGTGACCATGAGGATGCCGCAATAGTTTTTTTTTAAAAAAA